TTTTTCTGTTTTGCTTCTTTGATGCTTTTAGGTGTGACATGTAATGTGAGGATTTCCAGATAAGAATGAATTAGCAATTGTACTTAATCTGAGGTTATGATAAAGTGTAAATTCCTGAGTTCTTTAAGTTACAAGATTTTATATATAAAAATATCCAGACTATTCAGCTTACTATTGTGCAATCAACATGGTTTTTGCAGGCAGTGTTTCAAAACACAACTTTGAGCATTCGGTGAGCATGCCTTTTACGTGTATATATATATATATATATATATATATATATATATCATTTTATTAATTTGTGTGAAAATTCTAGTTCTATATTTAAAATTTGGATTAACAATGTGATCCTCTCTTCTAGATTTGCTTGGCACCTATGACTGAAAAAAAGTTTCAGTTGAAAAAAACATACTAATGAATAGTGTCTGAAGACTTTACGTTGATGGATTAAGAAGCCTTTCAGAAAGATGTCAGTTTTCTTTTGGTGCGTGAAAATACCAGTGAGTAAAATATCTGAAAAGAATTAACCAAGAACTTGAAGCAATGAGTGTTAGTTTAGCGCTCAAATATCATCGTATGCAGAGTAAGCAAAAGCAGTAGCCAAGACTTGTACCAACTAGAATGTTGCAAACCATAGGCCTAGCTTAGTAAAACCAAATGTCCTGTTTATCCCAAAGGCAGCCTACCAAACCTGAAAATGTGCTTTAGTAAAATTTCATGGTAAGAGCAGCATTTCTCTAACGCTCAGCTCAAAAAAATGTTTCAATTATATCACCACAGAAATTAAGTCGCTATTCTCGAGGATTTAATTATGTTGACTGGAAAAACAGATTGATCGATATGCTTATTGTGTTTTAACTGAAATTATCTTTGATTGCAGTTGAAGAAAATGTGTAAAGAAGGTGCTTATTGGGGTGAGTAATCTGCACCAAGTTCCACCCGTATATAATTCAAAATGGACGGTTAGAAAAGAGTTTCTTAGTTTCCCAATTTCTTGAAATCTTCGAGTGGATTATCTAACAATTCTTGTCTCTTTATTCAGGGACTGTTGCAGGGGTATATGCTGGAATGGAGTATGGAGCGGAGAGGATCCGTGGAACCAGAGATTGGGTAATTTGTATGCATTTATATGAATCTGCCCAACCAATTGAATTTGAGGGCATGTACCATGTTACAATCTGTCAACACGGTACAGGCCCAATAGATGGAATTTAATCCTGCTTGCATATTCTGTTCTATCAACTCACGCATAGTAACAACATTCCCCACTATCTTTCCTTATGATAGACTCTGCGTCTCCAAACTGTGTATGGCTATATAGTCTCAGCAGGAATGCATCCACCTCGTCATCTTCGAATCCTGTTGAAGTCTTCTGACGTTGTGCCCCATGACCTTTGTTTTCCATCCGTTGGTAGAACCTTAGCTATTGCGATCCTCTTATCATTAGCTTATGAGAATAAGCTAGGGATGTAATCTTCCAGGGTATCATCTCCATACCATACATTAAGCCAAAATCGGATTGTATTCTCATTTCTGTCAAAAAATGCAATGAACTTGGGAAAGTCCACTTTCTTATCATGATCCATTTTCACCAACTCGTCCTGTTGTGGGACAATACCCTCCTTTATGAACCAAGGTTAACTATTTTAACCATGTTTCACAGAGATAACCTTCATCCGGATGGTCCGATTTTTATTGCAAATTTCAAATAGACCCTTGTGGTCCGCCCTTCCCCAGAACCCGTGCATAGCGGGAGCTTAGTGCACCGGGCTGCCCTTTGCCTCTATATCCATTTTCTGAACAATGCTCGATTAAATATTTCCAACTTCTGAGATGTGCAATCCCCCAACTGCAACCAGTGGTAGACTATGAATGCTCAGTCTCCCATTTACCAGTAGAACCCAACATTAATGAGGTTACCGCACTGACTACTGGTTACTAAAGTACCCCTTGATGAAGACTAGCAATTTGTATTTGCATTTACTTTTGGATTGCTGGAATCAGGATTTTAGTTATGTTAGATCTCCCTGAATCGAACTTTATGTAGGTTAAATCATAAGGTAAAGAGAAATTACTCTGGTTTAAGGTATTTTGAATGCTCTCTTCTGTAACAAGAGTCTATCGTTTGATATTCTTCAATCTGTTTGCAGAAGAATGCGATGATTGGGGGTGCATTGACTGGGGCTCTCATATCTGCTGCAAGCAACAACAATCGTGACAAGATTGTGATGGATGCCATTACAGGAGGTGCTGTTGCAACTGCTGCAGAGTTCCTTAATTATCTCACATGAATTTCTTACCAGCTACTAAGAACATTGCAAAGCATTTGCTTTATTTCTTGAGTTGCATCCATTTAAAAGTACAAGCTTGTGACTGATGAATCTTAGACTATTTGACTATTTTTAAGTGAATCTATAAATTAGCCATCTTTTTCAATCATTTGCTTTACATATCAAGATGAATCAATAGCAGTGCCTCCTCTGGTTTAGTTTTATTCTTTGGCTTCTTAAAATCAAGAATTTATTTCTTCGCACCTCCATGCAAGCCTTTCAGTATATTTTAGAAGACTACTGTCACGACCCAAGCCCATCACATGTATTATCTGCTTTGGGCCTAGGTCTGCACAAATTTGTCTTTTGGACTACGTCACAACGAGCTCTAAAAGTGCTCGTACCATGTGAATTTGTGACATGCCTTATATCTTCACTTTCATATTCCATTCCAATGTAGGATTCACGTAAGGTGACATATGCACCCTTATTCAGAAGCTCGCCAGTCTATAAGCACGTCAATCCTTCTTGACCCGGCCTCCGTCAAGGGCATCACACTACCCTCATTTCTTCCAATTGGGCATGTCAGTCCTTCTTGACCCGGCCTCCGTCAAGGGCATCACACTACCCTCATTGCTTCCAATTAGGCGAGAGCTACACCTAACATGGGAAATTACTTATGTGCAATCAGTGTTTATATCATATCAAACAATTCAACCATAAAAGTTATAGATTAAAGAGCGAATACATATTATTTAACCATGGTTAAATGTTTATATAAGAAATATGTTTTATACTCATTTGCTTGTTATAAATATCAGGATCGACCTTTTATTTTTACAATCATGAAACTGTATAATCTATGCCTTACTGGGATTGACTTATAATGGAAGCGTACGCTTGTCCACAAGGCCACTAGATTCTAGATATGGAATATGGATTACTACTAGCATGCACATATATCTTAGTATCTTACGTATAATTTTATGTGAAATAGAACGCAGAATCTGAATGTGTGTATTAACGACTCAGGGATAAAAGTATCTAAAGAAAAAAGTGCCTTCTTGCAACTATGTTTTGTATTATATATATATATATATATATATATATATATATATATATATTACGTGTTGTTGGCGGAGCTAAAATTTCATGTAAGAGTTTATGGACTTGTACATATATTTTGTATTAAGAATAATTGTATGTTGGTTGCTATTATTAAAAGGTTGACCCAAATTAAAAGTGATCTGCTAAGATTTAAAGTTAAATAGGTCTATAAGACACCTCCTAAAGTATGAGGTCTTATGTGTAGATACCCAGATGTAATTTCTAATTTAATGATGAGCTAAATTAGAATTACATAAACATGTGCAACTATAAATCAGTTTGGAAGAACACTAACCGCAAGACAACGAGTTTCATCCATTCATATGGATTCAGGTACACTTCCGGATTTAGTTTTTATTCTCGATGATTTGACATGATAGGTCTTGGATAAAAGATGAAGGATTTCATCTTGAAGTATTTTGGTTCCAACAATTGGTATCAGAGCCTATGTCTGTGGAATCATTGAGATATATAAAATATCTATATCTATATATCTATATCTATATATATATTAAAGCAACAAAGTTTCCCTTCTCATTTAGCCAAGTGGAAAGTTATTAGAAATCCAAGTGGCAACCTATTAAAAATACACATGGCAACTTAATTTATTTAAACTTAATTTAACAAAAATGCAAGTTGTAACAACCAGATTTTTCGGGCTAGCAACTAACTGGGGAATCCCAAATGCATGGGCCTCTATTTTGTAAAATTTCCTATATTTAATATTAAAATAATACTAAATTATTGTATTTCATATCTCTAAGACAGATTTTTCGGGCTAGCAACTAACTGTGGAATCCCAAATGCATAGGCCTCTATTTTGTAAAATTTTCTATATTTAATATTAAAATAATACTAAATTATCGTATTTCATAACTCTAAGCCAGATTTTTCGGGCTAGCAACTAACTGGGGAATCCCAAATTTATTGCCTCTGTTTTGTAAAATTTCCTATATTTAATATTAAAATAATACTAAAATATGGTATTTCATATCTCTAAGCTAGATTTTTCGGCCTAGCAACTAATTTTATGGGCTGATCACACATTTTACGGATCTTTTTATGGAAATTTATTTTTCACAAATTTAATGCCCCTAAACACACGTATTTTGTTTCTTATTTATAGCAAGTAAATAAGATTATGCCAATATATATATATATATATATATATATATATATATATATATATATATATATACACGACATTTGACGGCATTTGACAGACAATCCTCTTATCAAATTTTCTCTAAAAAGAAATATGACGGCATTTGACTATATCAACAATATATCGAGTAACAAGATGAGTTGGAATTTGAAGGTACGAGTAGTGAGATTGTGGCACGTTCTAGACCGCGACAAACCAGACAACACCATCTCCTTTGAATTAATTATTCAAGACGAAAAGGTGCATTCTTTTTTAGTTGCATTTATTTTTTCAACCAATTTGACTACAATCTCCATCTTCTGCTTTGTACTATGAAATTCATTAGGTTACGCATGTATTTAATCAACTGCAATTTCAATTTTTTATGATCTAGATGGAGATACCTCGAATAATAAAAGATTTAATTTAGTAATGGGATTGCATATGTAATTCTTAACCGGCTTTTCCTTATTTGATAATGAGGTGTGAATGATGCTAACTCTTAATCTGCAATTTTAGTAGAAAAGATTTTTGGTCAACTTGAAATCATTTGTAGTTTGTTCTAAAGGTTTTTTTTAGTATTTTATGTGCGAGAACTTTTTTGGAGATCTTAGACAATAAAATATCTAAGATTATTGTCATATGAACAGTACTTACCATAAAATATGCAGTATGTGTTATTTTGGAAAGGCAAGCATTCACATATTATGTTTTACCCATTGATGCTTGATTGTTTAATATACTCTGTGACCAGAGGCGGACCCAAGATTTGAGCACGACGGGGGCACCACTGTATGCTAATCACTAGCGATAAAATTCGGCGAGCAACTCTTTGAAAACTTAACGATTATGATAACTTATCATCCAAGTATTATTATTAAAAAAAGTTCTAAAGAAAAAAAAGGAACCGAACATATATA